GTTTCTAAGATAGCCAGATTATCTTGATGGGGATGAATGCCTGCAATAATGGGCACAGAAGATAGTCCTTCAAAGGAAGATGAATGCAGCAGTCCATAGTATCTAAATGATAAATATACAGTCGATTTGATAAACTTTGAGTGATTTGCTCCCATTTGAGGTTTCTTGACTAGAATGTCTTGAATTTGCCCTTGTTTGATTTTCTCCCTCTTGGAATACTCCATCATTGCTTCATCCTAATACATGTTGGGCCATTAGGCCGAGATTTAGACCAAGTTGTTTACAGTGTGCCAGGTAGAAAAACAAAGCAATGATGTGATGGCAATATCCATCTATTCCCAACAACACAACTGCATTTCCCACTCAATGATTTATCTGTCAACTCAATATCTGCTGAGATATTATGCCAGGAATCAGTTTTTTTCATTCTTCTAAAGCATTTGGCTGTTACAGCAGCATAGTCAGCTGTGTAAGTAACTGAAAGAAAGAAAATACCCTCTTCAGAATAATACATGATGATTGGAAAAGAGATTTTTGAATTGTTTGCTCCAAAGGTTTTGTGATCACATTGTAACTTAAAAATTCCAAAAATTTAAAGCTTTTCTCCTATATTTCAGTTGGAAATAGATATCTTTTATTCCATGTAGATAGCCAGGTTTGGCGGAAAATTTGTACACCTTCAGTGTTTTGACATCCAGACTTTACTTTGGCACAAGTCTCCATGTCCTTGAACGTCAAATTCTCAATTGAAGACAAGTCTTGAGTCCCATTACCTGTTAAAAGAAAGATTGTTTTGCTACTATTTATAAAACATTTCAAAAGAATAATCTGTTCTTGTTGTCCTTCAGCAGCATAGCTTAAAATATAAAAACTGTTCTAATGAGACCTTAAATTGCTGTTTCAAAAGTAAAATCTAAAATCCAAGCTTTCGCTGATCAACGGTGTCATCAAGGATCCCTGATGATGCCGTTGATCAGCGAAAGCTTGGATTTTAGATTTTACTTTTTAAACAGCAGTTTAAGGCCTCATTAGAACAGTTTTAAATTTCAAAAAAAAATTGAGAGATAACGGCAAAACTTGCAATAATTACTCATCACTGAGTCTGCCATGTTTGTCTTGTTGGTGCTCACATCAGGAAGTCAAAACTTTGTCAAAAATTTCTTACATTTGTCAAAACTCTCAAAAACATCACAGTATACGAAGCACTGGCAATAAGATATTACACTTGTGAAAGAGAAGGATTAAGATCACTTTAAATGCTATTGAAAGACACGCTTCAATTCAGAGGTAACAGCTGGTTGTCATGCATTGCGGATAATAGCTTGCCAGTCAACATGGCGTTGCTATGGGGAGATAGGTCACATGATCAACTCCTGCAAAAGGCCTATTCCATTGTCTTCTAGTAAATGTATGTTGATAAAGACGTGTAACAGAAGTGTAACTAATATATGTTTGGAAAAAACCTACTAACTTGTGTTTCTTTGATCAACACCTCACAATATTGATTGATTTTAACTTATCTATTCATGAGACTTCGTTAGCTTTTGTTGGGACAAAATCCTCTGCCATGTACCACTGAATATAAAATGCCATCATAGTCTTCTGATTTTTGATGTTTTATTTAACAATGGAAGAAGTGTTTTCAGATACAACTATGGCTATCTTTGTAAAAGACAACAGCTTTCCCTTTGATTTCGATTGTTCACTGAAATGTCTTTTTTCTGAGAACATCCTTGTCACTGCAGAATTATGCACGACTTAAGTAATTGGGAAAACTGTCACACATCATATCAAAGGGGTCACATGAAATCAAAGGTGCACACTAGAAGTTGGCTGCCAGTACAGAGACTTAATATATAAGGTGATGCCTGGAGCAAACTGCTCAATATTTGGGTGTAGTGTGTCATGAAAGCCAAAATACTAACATGTAGGGTGAATATCTCACCCTACATATTGATGATAGAACCAAACCTACAGTTCCTTCAGTCTGTAAACTCTGTTGATAGTCTTAAGCATGTTGATAGTCTTAAGTTGAGTGGTTAGACTAAATCAACAAAAGAAGATAACAGGTCTATAGCGTTCAGCATGTTTGATGATATTCACCCTCTGCCAAAGTACCAAGTAACTGTGGATTTAAGCCTGGGGTTTAGTGTTTCAATATATGGTTGGTTTCTTCTTGACAACCACCCCATTTACTTAACGCACAAACGTTCAGTCAGATTTACCAGGGCTTTTCTACTGTTGTCACAAGTTTGAGAATTTCAGCTTTGTGCTGGTCTTTCCAAGTTTGATAGCAAAATTCAGGATCCTGTTGCAACATTTAGGCTCACGTGGCACTCAATACCAAAGAGTTTCTTTGGACTTTGAATCATCACCTGCAATGCAGGTGATGGTATATGAGAGACATAACAGCTGTCTAGTCATATCAGATACAGACCAGTGTTCAGAGCGTCAGATAGCAGATGCTGCTGAATCAAAGAGGCTACAACATTATTGCTATTGTGGCATGTCATGTGGTCACCGTCTCATGATCATCATCATTACAACGAAAGAGCTGTCGTAAACACTCTCGGCTGTGTTTCTATCCTTTCATTTTTGTGTTCGACACCTCCACCTCGTGGAGATTCATAAGTTTCTGGAGACTGTTGAGATGTTTGCATGGGAAGTGGGTCAAGAAGAAGCCAATCAAAAGCAGCGAAGAAATGCAAGATGTGCTTTCCTATTGCAGAATTCACCAAATGGAGGGCTTAGCTCAGGACAGAATATCTTTCCAAATCAAAGGAAATTGGTGCTTTAAAGAAAAGTGTTCAAAGACTTCAGAACAAGGTAATATTAAAATGAACAAGTTTTATTTCTGCAAAATATATTAACTGTACCCGGGAACAGGACAAACGTTGTCATCAGCATTTAATCTTTTACCCCTGCCACAAGTAGACTGAAAATTTAAGGGCAGTCCCTACTTTTAATAATAATTCCTCCACAATATATAAATATGAATTTTTTTACTACTTTACCTTATTATTTTAATAGCATTACAATTATTACGTTTATTTTTAAACATATTATTTTATAATTTTGCATTATTTCTCATTGTTCATTCTTTCATTCATTTATTTAGTCATTTCATTATTCAATATGCCAATGCTGTATATTTATGCCTCCCAAAAGAGAAACTAGGACACCTTTGGTGAATTCCCTGCTGCCCTGTGCAGAAGAAGTTTAGCATTTGAAGTCACTAGGAACACTTCCACTGTAAGAAAGACCAGCCCAACTCAACTCAGTGATGAGGAAAAGTTAATCTTGCCACAGAGAAGTGCCAGTAGAAGACAATTAGAGACATTAGTGGCAGTATAAGTCTGTTAGTGATCCAGCACAGAAGGCACCATTGTTTAATGAATTTTTTCCTTCTGTTTTCATAGCTAACTGTGTTGATCTTGCAGGATTACAGAATGATGTGGTACATGTGATGAATGTTTAAGTATCCGTAATGTAGAGAAAAGAAACGTTAGAATTCGTGTTTTGTTTCCATATATAATTCAGTCATCGCAGCTTTGTTTATTTTTATGATCGTTTTTTATCGTTCCTTTGTTCATGTTTTTAATCATTAATCGGAGCTTATTGTACCATTTAGCTATCAATCTAGCTTAAATAAGGAATCGCTTGCGTAACCACTCAGTGATCGGAGTATTCAGTATCAGAGTAGTTGGAGTTTTCCTTTTGGAGTCACTGGAGTTGCCTTTTCGGAGTTATTTGCTCACCTTTCTTTTTACGCAGGAACAGACGTGAGTTACCATTGTACATATTGATCGCTTTCTGCCTTTCTTGATTTCTATTTTGCTTGTAATTTCTTTAGCTTTGTTTCTAATTACGCAATCATAATTTGCTACGCAGTTTTCACCGCATGTGTGCGATATTTGGTTTGTGAATAAAGCTGAGAAAATCAAGTTTTGCATGCTGTGGTTGACACTTACCGTTCCCTACACTTGGGTACACGACAGTACATTCTCACATACTTATGGAAGTGTCAACAACTGCTTCTAAGTCCAGAACGTTTTGGTTAAGTTGGATGTAAGCTAGGCGACAGGAGCTGATAACATTCCAACGAGAATCTTGAGAGAATGTTCACTAAAGCTCTCATACCCGCTAACAACTCTCTCTAACATTTCTTTCAAACTGGGTGTGCTTCCTTAGGTGTGCAAAAGAGCTAACATTACACCTGTTTTCAAGTCTGATAACAAGAACCAAATGAATCTCTTTGTTGTCCATTCCCAGCAAGTGTCAGGAGAAGATTGTACATCAGGCTATTTTTGCACATGTAGCTCCTTACTTAAATGACTGGCGGCATGGTTTTATTATGGGTCAATCCTCCATCACTCAGCAGGTGCTGTCTCATCATCAGTGGACTAAAGCCTTGGATGCAAGGAACCAAGTCGATGAAGTCTTCTTGGATCTCAGTAAGTCTTTTGACAAAGTGTCTCATGTTATCTTACTACAGAACTTATGTAACTTTGGTGTGTCTGGTTGCCTCCTGAACTGGTGCAAGGACTACTTTATGAATCATGAGCAACAGGTAGTACTGTATTTATTCGCCTATAAGCCGATCTTGGCTATAAGCCGAGACCCTAAACTTTTTCATTTCAGCAGCTGTTGCATTGAAATAAAAAATAAACACAAAACATTCGGCTATAAGCCGAGACCTAATAATTGCAAAGTACTCCACGCGTGTCGTTAACTGAGATGAATTAACATAAACCGCAAACAAAAGGAGCTTCCCTCTCGGGAAACATGCAACCAAAAAGTAGGTTATGAACAAACATATTCATTAAGTCCAATTTACTCAGTTGTTATTGGTCGTTTAATTGAAAGTAATAACAAATCACAGATAAGTTGAATTTAATGTAAAGAAATAGAACCATGCGTGACATAACAAAACATTCACCTGAGTTCAGAATCCTGTCTCAAACAATCGCTCTCTTTCAAAGTTATCGTAATCGATCATCATGCCGAAAGTTCGTCGTTCTTCATACAACTTAGCGTTCAAACTAAAAGTCATTGCTGAAGCAGAGGCTGTCGAGAACAACTCCAAGATCGCTAGAGATTACGGAATCAGTGAATCGATGGTGCGTCACTGGCGAAAAGATCAAGCGAACCTGTTTAATGGTGAGCTTAAAATGTCAGCAAAGCGAAAGACAATGGGCTGCTTTTCGCCAAAGTATCCTGAATTGGATCAAACACTACTGGACTGGTTTTCAGAGCAGAGGAGTCAAGGTAAGTCTTTCGTTTCTTTAAAACAATGAAAAGCTTTGATCAGCTGATATCTGTCAGATCGTGTTGCAATGTTTACACAAACCATGGGAATGACTGCTTCTGATTGGCCAGTTTTTCATGTTGTCAAAACAAGTCAAACAATTGATCTCTTTTATCTTTTACAGGAATTTCTGTAAGCGGATTAATTCTACGGCTAAAAGCGAAGGAGTTGAGCAGTGATCCAGACTTCAAAGCCTCACTGGGTTGGTACCAGAGATGGAAAAAGCGCCATTCCATCAGCCTTCGCACTAAGACAACCCTGGCCCCAGCGACTCCCACAAGATCTGGAAGAAAAGACCATCCAGTTCCATCGGTTCGTGATTGCACTTCGGCAGCGGTATGGCCATTTGCTCTCCAGGCTGTTCAATATGGATGAAACTCCTATGCGATTCGAGCTTCCGTCGAGCAGAACCCTTGAATTCAGTGGCAGCAGAACAGTTCCAGTGAAGTTTTGCGGCGCCAAGAAGAGGAGCTTTACAGTCACACTCGCAGTCGCCGCTGATGGCAAAAAACTTCCACCTTCTGTGATCTTCAAAGGTGTTCGCACTCCAAGAGACCTCGCTGTTCCAGACACTGTTCGAGTATTGTTCCACAAGAAGGGCTGGATGGATGAAAAAGGTAGGAATTTGTCACATTTCTATTTCATAGCTCACTGGTAATTGATGTTATGCCCAAATGACTGATCTTCGCATTCTGTCAATTTATTCTAATTGGGTATTCTGTTATTTATTTCAGGAGTGAAGGAGTGGATTTGTACCTATTTGCCATGGAATCCTCACGATGAACGGTCACTGCTTGTCTGGGATTCTTTCCGAGCCCATCTGACAGAGTCGGTGAAAGCAGACCTACAACAGTACAAGATCGACGTAGCTGTTATTCCAGGGGGCCTGACTCCAGTCCTGCAGCCATTAGACAAATGCCTCAACAAACCATTCAAGGACAACATGCGGCGAAAGTACCTTAACTGGATGATGACAGGTCCCTTCGAGTACACGCCAGCAGGAAAGAAGAAGGCCTTGTCAAAAAACCTGGTCCTTCGTTGGGTGAAGCAGTCATGGGAAGAGATTCCAGAAGAGATGGTGAGAAGATCGTTCAAAATGTGCAGGATCTCAAACGCTCTCAATGGAACAGAAGACGACGCCATCTACGATGACAAAATGCCTGAGGTAGCTGATGATGACATGGAGGACGAGTTTGAGACTGACAGCAAAGAAGACAACGATGACTAAAAACTTTAATGTCACAAACTTCAACTTCACAAACAAAACGGCTCCTCTAGGAGCCACCACATAAATTAAAGTCAATGACCAACAATGATTTACATGTAACTACAATTCGTGATCTCGGAAATTTGTGTTTCTCTCACATAGACAAGATCGCCAGCAATGCAAACAAGGTGCTTGGTTTCCTCAAAAGAAATTGCAGAGATTTGAGAGATATTTCTACGCTTAGAACTCTTTTTTGTGTCCTGTATGGTCACCCTTTGCTGCCAGAAATATTGCGATGTTCAAAAGAGTGCGATGTTGAGCTCCAAAGTTTATTTTAAAATGTGAAGATGACTATGATACTACAACTCTAGTTTCTAGTATCATAGTCATAGACTTGCTTTCCTTGAAACATAGACTATTTCTTTTCAATGTGTTATTTTTTTTTAAGTTTTGAATGGTTATTTTGGCATTGACATCTCTTCAGCTGTACAATTTTACTCTGATACTACTAGGTACCCTTCAAGAGAGAAAGATGGACTTACTTTAAAGAAGAATTATGCTAGTACAAACACTTTTAAGTTTAGTTTTTTAATTGTATTGTTGATATGTGGAATTTACTCCCATTTTCAGTTAGATCAGTGTCTAGTATCTCAAGTTGTAAGCTTGACATGAGGAACCTCTTTATGAATAATTCATTGTCGCATATTTTAGAATTCTTATATCAGATTTTTAATTAATCCCATTAATTATAGTTTTAAACTATATATTTAGTTAGGTGGTCTGTCTGAGGATGGGGTCTTAGACTCTTCTATAGACTTTCCTTATGGCATTTCCTTTGTTATAGGTAATTATTTTATTTTGTTAATAGCCATTAAATTGCAAAAAGCAAGGAAAAAGCAACTGAAGCTGCTGCCTCCCCAGAAGTCTCTCCAAGAGAAAATGGTATTTACCTACCCACAAAACAGGAAGATTCAGATGATTCAAACATGTCAGGATCAAACATCAAAAGAGTCCATCGGACTCCCCACATGTCATTTCACAAGAGACTTAGAAATATACAGCAAGGTAAAGTATAGTGAAAGGGGTGGAATTATAAATGCAAATTATACATGTAAAGTTGTAATACAAGTTGATTTCCCATACAATAAAGTGATTGGATTACAAATAACTTGTTGGTTTTTTGGTTGTTCAACCTCACGGTTTAAAGAACAGAGTATACACATGTGTCACATGCTTGTTTCATGATGTTGACTTTGGAGATCGAGTGTTGCATGATAGCTTAAAGAATAACCTTTTTCATGTGTAGCGCACTTCTTTCACTTCTTCACTTTAAGAACATGGTGGAAATATATAGTATGAGTGGTTTTCAGTTTGTGTGAACCCCATGCTCAAAAGTGCACTTTGAATGAAGCTGAATCTTCCCCATACATTTCATCAGCATGAACTTTGATAGTTTCGATGTCTGAATCAAGCGAGTTCCAAGCAATGAAAAAGGATGAATCTTTTTTTTTGTAGCAATGTAGCGAAATCTCATGCTACATCGTTCTCTTTTAATGAACAAATGTTTTCTCTACAGAATTGCTATTTCAACTTAGACTAGGTTTACATTAGAGGAGATTCTTCCAGATTCCATTTTAGAGTTAGTGGATTTGTGGGCATTTACACATCAAGTTAATCCAGATTCCCAACCATTTACACACATCAACTAATCCACAAACTTTCTTGATTGGTTGGCTACAAAGCTGTTTCTTGCCTTGACCAATGACAACAAAATGCCGTCAAAACATGACTAGAATTTAATCTAGACAAATAGTAAAATTGAACTTCTGCTGGGAGTTGCTCATGCATATTCCTGCTGAAAAATTCCTTCACTTCTTGCTCTCTGATAGGTAGACATGGATATATTGAGCTTATGTATTCAGCAATTGTAGCAAAAACTCCTCTGAAACTTAGGGAAACCATGTAGTAGAGAGTGACAGCCACTTCAGGCAAGACCAATATGGGTTGCCTCAATTTGGCTGATTCTTTCTCACATGGGGCATAAGATCACACAGGGGCATAAGATCTTCAGAAAGTTTCATATGGCATCACCCAGAATTCAGCTACATATCCAGGACTTTCAATGAGACACTAGCACTAAATCTAGAAGCTAATTAGAAAACGATTGTCAAGCAGTAGAGGAAAAGGGCTGAAAATGTAGAGGAAGGCTTATATTCTATTATTATTAGTAGCACACAACTTCAAAGGTTATGACAGGTACTTCATTCTCGAAAAACTCTACAATCAACATGTCACCAATCTCACGCAAATCGTCAATGGAGCCAAGATTCTCGGTTTAGAATTAACCAATGTGAAATTCATCGACTCCATGAACTTTTTTCCCATGGCTTTGTCAAACTTTCCAAAACATTTGGAATTCATGAATTAAAGAAAGGCTTTTACCCCCATTTCTTCACATTACCAGCAATGCGAGTCATATTGCGTCTCAAATACCGTACGTCAATCAAAGATTACTTTCAAAATGGCTTCCCGAAGATACAAAGAAATGTATGGGATCTGAAATAAAATCTTATTTTTTGGCAGTTTAAATAAATTAAATTCTACGTGCCGACCTCTCGTTGATAAATAATATGCAACTGCACTACGAAGCGAAAGTTTTTTCACCGTTTCGTTTATTCGTCGAGCCGCGGAATAGAGGTAAAATAACAAAGATCTTCGGTTGTACTTCCTTTATAGTTTCATCCAAATACCTTCACTTACCTTCACTTCCATGCTTTGAGCTGTCCGTGTGTTTCATGCTTTCATCGGTGCCGACCCCTCAAAATTTTCTTCAGTTTACGATCTTTCAAATACGTTAAATAAAGCCTTCCATGATAAAATAGGAGGCCGCAAATCAATCTTGAAAATAGGGCTTTTTCACTATTAGACGTAACCTTTACCTGAGCTCGCGAATGTCCTGTAGGACGCGAAGAACGACCACTTTCCATCGTTTTCTTCGTGAAGAAAGTCGCCATATTTACTTCAGCTTAGCAGCCTAGCATTTCCACGCTTTTTACCGCTGTTTTAACAATCTGCAGACTCCTACAAGCGCCAAATCGCGCCAATTATAAAAAACAAAACTTGTATCACTGTGAGCTCATTCCAGTCTGAATCGTCAAAAAATGTCTGATGTTTTGCTCGATTTCGAAAAGAAATCCCTAGAATTTCAACTTAAGGTCACTGAATCTCCTCTTTCTTATATAAAACAGCAATGCGTTCAAGAATCTCGAATAGCTCTGGCAATATACATCCCGTATCCAATTTTGATGAAATGGCATGAGCTTGTTGGAATAAAAGACGAGAGAGGAAATGAGTTAAACTACATTGACCTTCTTAATTTTTGGATTCCTGGTCGATGGTTTAAAGTAAGCAAGGAGAACGGATCAAGAATCCACGGAAGATTGAGACGTGAAGCCGGTGCAGTTGTGAACAAATACACTGGGAAGAAAGTTAGTGGAAGTAAGAGAGAAGAGGCAAACAGGAAAGGGCTAACCCTTAACATTTATGAAACTGAGCTTGTGGTGCCTCATGAAATAGAAGAGAATCTGTCTGCTGCAGAGCAAGAAATAAAAGAATGGAAATTGAGGTACAAGGATCTTGAGAAGGAGAAGGAAAGCTTGGCAAGGGGAATGATGGAAGCAATAAGAAGAAAAGAAAATGAAATGGGAGAAACGGTCAAAACTACAGAGGAAAAGTTCAGAGATATTGAAGAAAAAAATAAAGAACTTTCTGAGTACATACAAAATTTAGAGAAAAAGACTGGTTTTCTTTGCCAAGGGAAAACTATAGACAGTTTGGGAAAAAGACAGCAATCGAGAAGACTGAAGGAGCTGAAAGAAAAATCAGAAATTGCCCTCTGGTTTCTTGAGTCACATGGACTCAAGCTGTCTTTTCTCAAGGTCCAGGAGGCAGCAACTAATGAATTTCACACCCTGGAATTTGACCAGTTGTCAGCTAATGAGACTGACCAGAACAACCTAGAAACTCTTCTATTTTTACTGGACAAATTCTGTGCAAGTGATGAACTTTACCATGAGTTGTCTCTTTTGTCTGAAGATTTACCAAGGACATATTTGATCAAACAAAGGAGGAATGAACTGAATAAACTCTGTCATATTGAAAGAACACCAGGTCAATACCCTGGTGCACAACTTTCATTTTCTGAAACTCTACAAGATCACATCAAACAATTTTTGGAGTCAAATTCAAACCACAAAGGTGATGAACCAATAAAGGTAAAGATCAGTTGTGATGGTGCGAAGATGTCGAGGTCAGCAAATTTTATGATAATGTCATTCTCACTCCTTCAAACAGGGGATTTAGTTATGTCATCAAAGGGCAACAGGACAATTGGTGTAGTCAATGGCCCTGAAAAATATGAAACAATTGAGACATCATTTTCAGAAATTATCAATGACATAAATTCTGTGAATAAAAATGGGAAGATCAAGGTTAATGACAAAGAAATAGCTGTTGAATTATTTCTCGGTGGAGACTACAAGTTCTTGCTGATGGCCATGGGGATGTCTGGGGCTACCTCAGACTATGCATGCCTTTGGTGTAAGGTGCACAAGCTTTTCAGGTGGGACATGTCCAAAGATCTGTCCCATTATAACGAAGAGCTCGAGAGAACACTCCAAGAAATTAAAGAGTTAAGTTCCTCTTCAAAGAAATTTTCATGTGTGAAAAGTCCATTGTTTACTATTGAGCTTGACCACATTATTCTTGATGAATTGCATTTAATGCTGAGAGTAACTGACAAACTGACTGAAAATTTAATCACAGAAGTAATGGAGAAGGATGCAAAGCAAGATTTTAACATGGCTCGGGGTAAGGAAAAGGGTGTAAACCTTGACATTCTCATTAAAACAATCAATGAACTCGGCATAACTTTTTCTCTCTGGGAGAAAAAAAATGCTGATGGGAAAGGCAGTGGAACATATGACTGGACTAGCCTTGTTGGGTCTGACAAGAAAAAGCTGACAAAACTTTTGCCAGCAAAACTTGAAGAACTAGATATCCTGTTCCCAGAAACAAAAGAAACAGTCATCAAACTCTGGAAAGATTTTTATACACTCTACAGTTTAATCAACTCTGATTCAAATGCTGGTGACTTTTACCTTGACATTTTCCAGAAATCTAAAGACTTTGTAAATTTGTTTTGTTCACTTGGTGGTGTTCGAATAGGATATGAAAAGAAGAGAGTGACTCCTTACATGCATGCATTAGTATATCATGTACCAATGTTCATCAAAAATCATAAAAACTTCAGACAGTTCACTGGTCAAGGCATTGAAAAAAATAATGATGATGCCAAGAAAATATACTTTCAAAAATCAAATAAGTGGGATGCGGCTCAGGATGTTCTGCTTCTGGAACACAGGCAGGAGGCACTAAAGCACTGCGAGAGAGAAAAAAGGCAGTACACCAAACGAAAAGCAGCTTACTGGGAGGATGGCATCATCGAGACACGAAAAAAAAGAAAGAGGGCATGTTTAAGAGAACTACAAAATGACCACAATGGAGCTGATGTACAAGGAAATAACTTAAGCGAAGATAAATACAACAAAATGACTGTTAAGCAGTTAAGACAGGAAATCAAATCTATAGGTATTAATGTGAAAGGGATTGCAAAGCTGAAAAAATGTCAATTGGTTGAGATTTTGAAGCAAAATCAGTAACTATGGCAAGCAAAGGAACAACAGATATGCAGACATGTATCACAAAATATATTTTTTAATTTGATTATTTGCAAAAATATCTTGTGAATAATTTTTAATGCTAATATGAATACTAAACTTTTGTTTGTTTATATGCTTACAACAAAATAATAACAATAATTTTGATATAGTGTATTTAATCATAAAGCATATAACTTTCTTTGATTTTCAATTGTTGCAATCACATATTCCACTAGAAATCTCTGCAAAATTATTTTGTAGATTTTCTTGTTTTATATTTATCTGTTCTAAGATAAATTAAATGTTTTTACAATCGCATGCTTTCCTGTTGACATATATCATAACTTTTTCAACTGGAAAATTTGGAGCAATTTTGACCTGACCACTGGATAAAACGTAACGTTTTTTTGAATTGTTAAGGACAGTTTTTAACTTAACAGGAAAGTCAACTGCTATTCCTTGTCCAAGTTGATTGAAATAATAGTACCAATATGGTGGAAGTTCAAATCGAGTAAAATCATTTTTTTCATAGAGTATACTAACTCCGTCTTCTGCTCTTTTACCTTTTCCTTTAAAAACGTATCTCACAATATCATGATCCATTCTAATTTCAGTGGAATAAAGAACTTTAACCGCATTCGATTTTAGGATTGAAAGAATGCCTTCCAGAAATGCAACTGATGCGCTCTGTAGTCTTTCCACGGTAACAGTGGGGTTGCTGTATGCCCTAGAAAGTTTTTAATGCAGAAAACAAAACATAAGATTGGAATCGAAAACGTGTTACGGTTAAGACGATCAAACCATCTTCTATAATGAAGCTCACATTTAAGCTTAAAATCACCATCGAAAACAAACTAAATATACCTGATAAGATGCTCATTCAAATGAGCCGAAGGCTCCCACGTGCTTGTCCACAATGGCCAGTCCTTCCATTTTACTAGGTATTCAAAGTCCTGAAATTGTCAGAGATTGATTAGAGCTGTTTATGAACTTACTTCGATTGTAGTATAAATTTCATCCGAAGTAAAATATAGCTGCAGGAACATAAAAGGGTCAATACACATACCTCGTTCTTCAATCTTCGCCGGCTGATAAGTCTCTCCACAAAATAAACTTTAGATCCGCTTTTAAATTTTCTCCTTCCTTTCAAATGAACTTCTAAATCCACTGTAGAAAGAACATTTAGTGCTTTATAATCAACTCGATTCCTCCGCGGAAATCTACTTCGCTCCATGTTTACATGAAATCTGACGCCATAGCGCATGAACAGTAGAACCTGAAGAAACTACTGACCTCGCGGACCGCGGGAGTAAAATGTCTCGGATTGCTGGTAATGAACACCCAGCAATATCAAAACTATGTTGGGTACATGCCTGACAAATCTTACTCCGACCCTGACAGTATGTCCACAGCGCGCAAAGATGAATTCCACAAGTGGTACGATGAAAAAGTATCTGAAAGATACATTTTCAATTTTCAACATGAACCCTAAAACTATTGCCAATCAGATGCAAGGCTCCTCAAACAGGGGTGTATGACCTTTCAATCCCAGTTCAAAGATTTTGTCAACTTCAACCCTATAGAACATTGCATCACCATTGCTTCCGCTTCCAATGTGGCATACCGCAAAAAATGGATGCCTGAAAACAAAATCACCGTAGAACCAGTACAGGGATGGCATCCCCGTCACATTCAATCCCATGCTGCTCAAAAATGGCTCTACTGAGAAGAATCAAAACTGACAAAAACCAATCATGTGCCCCGAATTGCTCATGCCAGAAACAAAGGTGAAAGAAGATTGTTCCACGGACAAAAAACATCTCAGGTAGATGGATATGACGAGCAAACAAAGACCTTCTACGAGTTTCAGGGTTGTTTCTACCATGGATGTATCAATTGCTTTCCCAATCACACCATGGGACACCCTATTAACTTGAACAAAACTATGCGCGATGTCCGTCGAGAAACAAGAACAAAAATCCAACAATTATCCCAATTGGGATACCATGTCAAAGAAATGTGGGAATGCGAATGGAATCGTATGATACAAGCAGATTCACAACTTAAACAATTTATCTATACACTCGATGTTGCCACACCTCTCAACCCTCGCGAAGCCTTTTTTGGTGGAAGAACCAATGCTATCAAATTTCATCATAAAGTTCAAGAAAACGAAAAAATCCATTACAGCAATATGATTTTGTTGTACCCATGCGCAAATCTAGAATGTGACTACCCCATTGGTCACCCAGAATTCATCGATCAACCCAAGACCACAGACATCTCCAGATATTACGGATTGGTAAAATGTAAAATTTTACCACCCTACGAAGTATATCATCATGTATTACCACACAGATACGACTCCAAACTCCTTTTTCCACTCTGCAGAACATGCGCGGAACAAGGAATGAAGGAAACACTTCTAGAAAGAAGCGAAACCTGCACACATTCCCATAAGGAACAAACCCTCACAGGTACATGGACCACCCTGGAACTTCAAAAAGCTATCCAAAAAGGGTATGTCATCACTACGAAGTATGGCACTTCAATCAACGTTCAAACCAACTCTTTCAACCCTACATAAAAACTTTCATGAAAATCAAACAAGAAGCTTCAGGATGGCCTCCAGAATGTGACACCGATGAAAAGAAAAGAAACTACTTGAAAGAATACAAAGAGCATGAAGGTATCAAACTAGACTATCAGCGCATCGAAAAGAACCCAGGTCTACATTCCCTCGCCAAATTAATGCTCAATTCTTTCTGGGGAAAGTTCGGACAACACCCCAACCAAACCCAACTCACCACATGCACAATACCCTCTGAATTCTTTCAAATCATCAGGGACAATCAACAAGTCATACATAGAATCAAAATTGTTTGTTCATTTATCTTTGCCTGAATGTAGCGAAGCGTAATGAAACAAAAGATAAATGGTTTCTTGAATTCCCGAGCACGAGTGCATTTGTCGGCAGTGTGTTTTAAGTGCCGGCGTGAGATTATGGGAAAGAAGTGTGATATGTAAACTAGCAAGTATATATTCGCTGAACAGTAAACAAGTTTCATTGTGGATTTTTACAAGCGGACAGTTAAATTTTGTTCTTTTTTATTTTGTGGTTGGAATCCTGTAATCCATTTCCTCGTAACGATTTTTAGTTGTGCTTTCCTGATGATTGACAGTCATTATAAGTGGTTTTGTTTATTCAATTTACTTTGGCCGCGTCGAACGTATAGAGTTTGTTTAATTTTTTGGTGTCTAAACAGTGTAAACAGTTGTTTTTGTCTTGTGATTAGTTGGTTAGTTCAATAAATGGGCTAAGAATTGTCTGCTTATCCCGCACCGCATTTCTGGTTGTCAGTTTTTTGGGTGCAGGGAATTCAAGAACAACGAACATGTGGTAGAAGTCTACCACTCCTTTCAAGAAGTATGCGATCCAATTCAAACAAACGTGAACATCTTTATTGCCTGCTTCACCACAAGTTATGCACGACTCAAACTATACAATGCTCTAGACATCTTGAAAGAAAGAGTATTGTACATGGACACAGATTCTGTCATCTACACCCAGAAACCCACAGAATCTTCAATACCCATTGGCAACTATCTGGGCCAATTCAGCAACGAATTAGATGAAGGAGACCACATCGTCGAATTTGAAGCTGCAGGACCCAAAAACCATGCCTACAACACCTTCAAAGGAAAACAATGCTGCAAAGTCAGAGGTTTCACGCTCAACGACTGAGGACAAAAAATCCTTCATTTCAACAGCATGAAAGATCTAGTTTTATACAAAATACTACAACCAGAAGATGATGATGATCAGCACACATTAACACTCCACAACCCACACAAAATCACAAGATGTTCATCCACTAAAACGATAAAAACAGTTTCACAAGACAAAACTTACAAACTCGTTTTAGATAAACGAGTCATCGATCATGACACCTTTCAATCATTTCCCTACAGCTATAAATGCATCTCCACTCCACGAAACTAACCACAGCATCAAGGACATCGATCTTCAAATTTACCACTGTAAATTCTACGATAAAGACGTAGTAAAACACACCTATTTCCTCATCATCCCTGGACAAAAAGATAACAAGACATTCAGGGTAAATTTCGACCAAACAGCTGAACCCAACGAACAAATCGTCAAACATTGGATAAATCAACCGTGGTACAATCACACCATTACTGAAAAGTATCATATGATTCAACCTACAAACAGTCTGCCTGTATCAAAGACAAATCCCTTCAAAAGACTGTGGACAAAGTGGGTAAAGAAAGGTGAAAACATCCGCTCTCCACCATTAATGCTCTTCAATCATGACGAGGAGTAACAGGAAAAAAAACTACAAAAGAGTTAAAAAACTGATAAAAAAACTTAAAGATGACTACTCCAACCTCAAAAAACATTACGAAGAAAAAATCAATGAACTTGAACTTTGGAACAAAGAATATTACATCACATCTATTTTACGTTATCTAAGAAGCATTTCCTACAATCCTTGGGACACAGCCATATCTAGCGGTTTCGAAAGAATGTGTAATAAAGAATAAAGTTGTTTACATTCGATTAAACAGTGAAAGAGTTGGTTCATTCGTAGTTTGTCGTCATCCTAACCGTTCGAGTACATTACATTGTATTGGATAACACCTTAGACATCCATGGTAGAAACAACGCTTTCTTCTCACCTTCATCTACTAAAATGTTCGCTTTCCATGGAGCAATCACTAAACTTATGTTTACGTTGGTTTGCACAGGGTTGCATATCTTCTTGTTCTTCTACGGCACTTAACAATGCCTCATCAGAGATCTCCTCCAATCATTTTTCCCTAAAAAAAGAAGGCACAAGGACGAAACGCACCACGAAACAGGTGGAGAACAAAGAAAAGAAGACAAAGAAGACAGAAAGGAGGTATCCTACCACTAGCAGCACTCCTTCCAGCCCTCATCCCTGGAGGTAAAGCCATTGGATTGGCCGCTGCAGGAGCAGGTGCCTCATATGGTGTAAACAAAGCCCTAGAGTCTGCTACAAGAAAGAGATGATTCTACCGTTGGAAAACCCTCTTCCACCTTCTCTTCTGAAAAACAACATTTTTTATAATATTTTCACATGATGTTATTTGTAAATCATTGTAAAATTTTATTGTTTGTAAAATAAAAGGCTTATTTTGACCTCCCTCGAGTCTGCGCAGTTGATTTAGCCTCATCAGTTAACGCGCAATCGTTCCCAAGCTCACCCGCGCACCTTGCACCCAACCTTTCCCACAAAACTTGTTACCAAACCTCTCTGGGTTTCTTATGACGTCATCAGAATGGAATGTCAAAATACTACTTTCTGATTGGTCCATTTTAATCACGTGACCCGAATACTCGATTCTGATTGGTTACCCGTTATACTTCCTTCCTTTTACCACTATGGTTGTGTTTTCATGAACACTTTTTCAGGTTGTTCAGCAAGTGACAACCAGACATTTCATAAAAACCGTACCTTTTTCAACTCACTTTAATTTAAGCAAGTTGGTTTAATGGACTTAAATTCTCATTAAATTTAAGTCCCCACTAAAAGTCAAAACAGCCCACAGGATGCTTACATCCCCAAGTGTAACGTTGCATAACTTGGCATTATTCAAATGTAATTAGCGACAATTTTTCCAAGAGAACAAGGACAACCTCAAGGTCCTATGATGAAAATGTTATTATTTGTAGCAAATGGCTTCTTAATGTAACCCAAATAAGCTTTCAAGGGAGAGATAGTACAAATACTTGGAAAAGATAATGTAGTAATGTGCTCCAAAGTTGATAAATGTTTGAATAGGTGAAGAATGCGATAGCCAATAAGGAAACTACTTGCAAACCTCAAGGAATTCTACCAATGTTTTGTTTTGTTTAATACCGTATGATATCAGGAATCTGATGACTTTTCAACACAACAGCAATTCATATTGTTCCCCTTATGGCGTTGATTTAAATTGTATAAATATTATGGTTGTGTTTTCATGAACACTTTTTCAGATCGCTTAGCGAGTGACAATTGGACATTTCATGAAAACAGCAGCTTTTTCAAGACACTTTAATTTAAGCGAGTCAGCTTAATCAACTTAAATTCTCGTTAAATTTAAGCCACCAAAAAAAGTCAAAGCAGCCAACAGGATGCTCACATCCCCAAGTGTAATGTTGCTTAAACTGATTACTGTGGGTCTCCTAGTTCTTACTCTTTTTAACCGATACTCAAGTGGCATCATTCAAATGTAGTTAGCGACAATTTTTCCAAGAGAACAAGGACAACAACAAGGTCCTATGATGAAAATGTTATTA